AATGATTAAAAAAATAGTTAACCACTCATATTATCCACTAAATAATGGATTGTATAATAAATTTTTTAAAAACGGGTCAAATATGGATAAGAACCATATTATTCATTTAGAAAATTGTTAACCAATGAGTTTAATTTTTACATTTATAAAGCCTCAAAGTGGAGGTTCCTCAAGTTTGGGAGACTAAGAGTTCTCCCAAAAGTGATCATATTCAAGAAGTCATGGATAATATGGTTACCCATATTATCCGCCGATTAATCTATTTCTTATTCATATTAAATATGGATTGGATAGGATAATTTATCCTTTTTTTATTACCCGTTTTCGATCCAAACCATATCCGACCCAACCCGCTCGTTTGTTAATCCTAATCCCATATTACACTTACAGGTAGGTGAAGTGGACACACACGTACCACCTCACCAACCCATTTTATCTCTCCACTCCCCTTCTTCTTACACCACTACATTACAAGATAAATCGTCCACTATTTAAGTCGATTTTATATCGTCTCTGAACCTATGTCAGGTGACCAAAAGACAAACTTCTTTCCATTCTTTGACGAGGTTTGGTTAGCGTCCATGTAGCTATTGTTCAAAGTAAAATCAGTTTCATCAACACCTATTAAATGTAGTTTTCTTTCGTCTAATAACTTCTCAACCAGATTTACAAAATTTCCCTGTGGCAATTGAACTTTTTGTCTTAAAATTGGCAACCGAGGCAACAACTTTGTCCAAAATAATGTCTAACCTGATGTTTGGCTATATTTATTTATTTGTAGTGCATTATTTACCTTACATTTTGATACTTTAATATTAAATTATACTATATTTGTGCTTAATTGAGTTTATTTTATGTGTAGGTATTTTGAAAATATTAATCTCACGATTGGGCAATGATTGAAGAAATAAGTGTACAAAGAAGAATAAAGAAAGAATGAGGCAGCAAATGAAATCAGCAGTAACGCAAATTACCAATTGAGACGATGCATCGTGATGTAAACTAAGAGTCCACTAAATTATATAGAGAACCTAGTTTTTTTATCAATTCTCACAGAACACACACACAACAGCAAATAAATAACACAACAGTATTTTACGTGGAAACTCTCAGTTCATGGGATTAAAAATTACGACCTACACTCGTATACGATTTCAACTTCACTAACCGAGCAACTTTAGATTACAACCTATTGTAACCTAGGAATTAAACTCATAATCTCTCACCTACTTGCAATAACTCTATTGCAAGCTAGCCTCTTTGTAATAACTCTATTACAAAGCTCACCATTTTGACTAACTCTAGTCAAACACAAACACAAGATTTATTGTTCACAAAGATATCCCGCGAGATACTTCTAACTAAGCTGAGTAGGAACTACAAGTGAATAACATTAACAAAGATACAACAATACTAAGGACACATGATGAACTTAGTGTTGGGATCTGGTCTTTTGTTCTGTTGCTTCTTTGTTCTTCAAGCCTTGGAGTGAATGAAGACGACTGCATACTTTAGAGAAAATAAAGTTTTAGGGCTTGCAAGTGTGTGTAATCCCTTACCTCATGTTGGTAATATATAAGTGAGATCATTGGGATGATGTAAGCGAGTATCCGGTACACAGCATGCTACAAACAATGACTGTTGCACTGTTGCATGTGCAGTGCAACAGTGCAGCAGCTTTAACAGCTATAAAGAATTGACTTGTACTGTGATCGGAGGAACTGATAGCCATCTGTTTCCTTTGCTGTTCCTTTGACTGATGTCATTGGAACTTGTGCCAGGACCGTAACTTGTCGTACTGAGCACTTTGAGGCTTTGTATCAGGTTCCCTATTTGATTCTCATACGAAGTTTGTTAAATCATTAAAACACAAAGTCACATAACTTATTACATAAAAAATGGGGAAAGCAGGCAAAAGTTCGAGCCGGACAAAATTTGATGCTTTATGTAGCACAGGGATTTATCTAACGCGAGAGTACCTTCACATCTTATTTCGCAAGGCACAACCAATTTGCGCGGTGATGCGTGGTGTCTGGATTTCGAAGCTTTTTTGTCTTCTTTTTGGCTTTGGACTTAGTTATTTCGTTTAGGCCTTTTTCCTACACCTATAAGTAGTCATTAGACATAATTTTTATAAAAATAATTTGGCGAAAGGAAAGCAAGGAGCCGTCATGGAGACCGGGTTTCATCTTTTTTTCCATCAAACTTATTAATTTTTATGTTTCTTTGTATGATTTGTTGTGTTGCTACCATGTCTATGTGGAGCTAAACTTCACGTCTTAAGGTTATTGTTCTTTCATGACTATTATTGTTTGAATATTGATTGTGATTTGTTAATTTATCGTATTAGTTTATTTATTTAATCATACGCTTAATAATTTGATTGTTTGATCCCCAATTGAATACTATCTGAGAATCTTGAGTTGAACTCGAAAGTGAAAATTCTAGATTACACACAGGATCGAGTAGAGCAAGTTTTTGAACCCGGGCATTGGAGAATAGATTCGCGGTTAGGATGGGCATATGCTAATTGCTTTGCTTGGTTATTATACAGGAATTATAAATACATCCTTGTTGATTCTAACTCTATAGATATATAGTATTATGTTAGCTTGAATAGGTGAGTAAAAGATAGATAAATTTTTATGAGCAATATTAACCCTGTCAACCCAACAAACCAGATAAATTAATTAGTTAATTCAATTAAAGAATACAATAAGCTTGTTAGATAGCTGAGTCTAGACCGTTTTCATCACATTGAGAACATAAAAATCTTCTCTTCCCTTGTTCAAATTTCACTATTTGTGTTTTCTTTAGTCTAATTAGTTTAGACTTAAAATACTTTTAGGACTAATTCTTGTTCAGATAATTAGGACAGTTTAGTCTAGTTAATAGTTAATAACAAGTCCTTGTGAGTTCGACACTCTATTTTATCACTTTATTACTCGACGACCGCGTATACTTGCCGCAACAGAACTTAAATCTTTAAAGCAGACCATGAATTTCTAATGAATAAAAGTTTTTTTGGGTGCATCTAATGAATAAAAGTTTAATGTTCTTCCCAGAAAAATAAAAAATCAAAAAATAAATCGTTGCTGGGGGAATCATGTCACTGTCCACAATCCATGTGTTCGTATTTAAGTTTCAAGGATTTTCTAATTACATGAGCCCTCACAACAATCTCTTTGCCCAATTTTTCATGTGATTTGTCAAAGTTAATCAAAAAATTGGTCTGTGTCAATCACGGGATAACCCCTTCTTGCAAGATCAAGTAGGAAAACAGAATGTGGCCCCGATAATACATTTGTTTGGATATTCAATCTTTTAAACTGGCGGAGAAGATTCCAATAACTGAATCTTCCACGTGGAGGGGAGGAGGTTCTAGTTGTGGAAGAAGAATTAAGAGGGGGAGGGGGGGTAAAATGGGTTGCGGTGGTGAGGTGGATGACATGTGTGTATCCACCTCACTTGTATAGTTATATGTTGTTGTTGTGTTGTGTAAGATTGAATGTCTACCTTAGATAATTTAAACGGAGGAGAAATATATTTGAGCCACATGTATATCGTTAGGGGTATTTTCATACTATAGTATAATGGAGGATAAACTTGATCTTTTCCGCATAGTAGAGGAGTAAATATGACCCTTTTTCCCGTGGAAGTTTGTAAACCAATTTTAGTTTGTTAACTTCTCTACCAAGAGCAGAGAAAATATTTTTTCAAAACTGTTTTTAACCTTCCTCACCTTATTTCTCNTAAATTATATATTTTTCAAAAAATACTCTCTGCTACCTAACAAACACCAGAAAATAAATAGGAATAATACTTATTTTCCAAGAAAATATGTTTCTTCATACCAAGCATACCCTATTTTTTTTTTATTATAAAAATTGGATTTTTCTAACTTTATCAAATTTTTGCCCATGCCAGTTGACTAATTATTATGAGTTATATGAATGACTAATTTGAGAAAGTTCAGGGACAAATTTGAACTTCTATCCTCTCGATTTTTTCTTCACGTGTCTTACATCCAAGGAAAATGGGTCAAACTTGAACATCATAAAGATATATGCCCTAAAATGAAGGGCATATATGATATGTTTGAGTAACAACGAAGTCCTTTGTTAAGCAAACTTTTAAGAGAGGACATAAATACCTAATTTCGCAAAGTTTAGAGGTAGATTTTGACTTTTTTCCTTAATAAGAGAGTATTTAGTTTCTAAAAGGGCCATAAATAAACGTCAAGCCCTTTTCAAGACTCAAAGCCGCCAAAATCATTGGAGGGGTGGATAAACACAGAGTTGCCTATACACTTCTCTACAAGCATTCTATTTTTTAGAAAGATTGCTTTGAATTGGCAAAATCACTCTTCATAATGAAGGGTTGAATTTGATAAAACATCTTAAATTCGAGTTTATCATTCGTTTATTTATAAAACCTAATTAATTTCTTTAAACAGTCGATCGATGAATCAACGCTATCCACATAAACATTTAAAACCTGAATGTTTAGCATTTACTTTGAGCTCTTTCTTCTGATTTTCTTCTCTCTAAGTAAAGTCAGTCAATTTCAATAGTTTTCCTGTAATTCTTGCTTGAGTAGAGTTATATATTAATTTTATATTGGAAGAAACTTTTCATGACTCTATATTTATATACTTTTGGCTACAAATTGAATGAAGAGTCGGAAGCAATTCATTGCCTGTGGACGTTGGCGTGAAAAAATCATAATCTGAAAAAAAAAAAAAAAAAACAACTATTTGTCCAGTAAATATCATGGAAGAGGCTCAAATATCTCGACAAGTCCAAAGCTCGATCACTTCGAACAAAACGATCCAGAGTTATACATATACTTAAGCATTCATTCATCATTAATTACCACAAAAGAGTACTAATATATTAATAAATAATGATACTCATTCTTTCGTTTAAATTCTAAATCTTGTCTCTACACGTATGCTATCCTTGTTCGTTATCCTTATCCATGGCAGTCAGTAGTCCCTTCTAATAAACCTCGGGTATTCTTTGAAGACGGGGACGCCATGATGAGAACTGTTTACGCTGAATATTATGATGAGAGCCATCAGCCTTGGAATTCATCAACATTGCAGATAAGACTTGGTCCACCGTCACGCCCTGCATCTGCATGTTCACTCTTCCTAGCATTTCCTCCAGCTCCTTCTTTGTTATTCTGATTTTCATCCCCCTCTTACTATTATTAGTATTAATTCCCAGCAGACTTTCATTCCCTGTAGGTGACACAGGTTCTAAGTCATCTCTACTTGCCCATACCATATTGGATGATTCATGTCTCAAACAATTTCCCATCTTCACTTTTTGCTCCAAATAAGAAATAAAGAAAATGCAACTAAAATATGTAATTTAAACACTTAATTTTATGTATACAAAATATATGTTTACAATGGAAGACGTGCATCTATACTTATATATAGATAGCCACCAATTTGTGTGGGGTGTGGCTTTTAGGAGAGTTGGCGAAAGTGGTGGGAAGGACACAACGGGGAAAATGTGTTTAAGCCACCATTAGTTGACTAATCAACTACTCCGGATTTCTTTCTTCTTCCTCCTTTTTTCTTTTCTGTTGTTTTTGACGATGAAAGTGTTCTGGATGTTGGAATTGTCAATACTAAATCGGAATCTGCTTTATCCACCTATTTTGGCTAAGTGTTTTTTTTTTCTTTTACCTTCTAGAACTGTGGTTAATTTTTCTATTCAATTTTGTCTTATTAATAAGGAACCTACTCTCTCCGCACGTGTCCTCAGTTTGACCTAATACATAAGCGGAAAATACTTGCTTACTCCTCGCTTATAATAAAAGGGAAACAATGTTAATCATGATTAAATGATTAAAAAAAATGAGAAAATTTCACATAAGAACAACTGAGCTCCCTACATTTTAATTTACAACCAGCTAACCCAAAAATAATAGGTTAAAATTCAACATTCAACTCCAATAGGTTCTCGAAATTATTATTTAATTTTTAAAAAAGAATTCTCAAACTTTTAAGTTAATTTTCGAATCAGTAATTGTTGCTCCCAGACACACACACAAGTATACGTGGTTGACAAGTAATATAGGATTGTAAGTCCAGATATCGTACCTACAGAGACTTGTGATTAACTATCAACTAAATTAAACCAAACAATTAATCTATTCAAGCAAATCCTAAAGTATAAATATTTAGCTAAAACTAATCTAGGGTAACAAATTAAGAGATTAAAGAAAATAAGTTGGCAAATTAGGGAGACGAATTCAATGTGAGTGAATATTCTAGAGTTATGGATTAGCTAACAATCCCGCTGAGTTTTCCACTTAAATCGTCTAATTAATTTATTTGGTTTATTGATTGACGGAGTTAATATTGCTCGTAGCCTTCTCCCGAAGTACAACTCGCCTATTCAAGCTAACCTAACACCTATATTCCTATGGAATTAGGATTAACAAGAACGCATTTATAATTCCCGTATAGAAACCAAGCAAGGCGATTAGGTATATTCCTATCCTAACCGCAAATTCGCTCCCTCTAAGAGTTAAGATCTTGCTCTACTTAATCTTATATGCAATCTAGAATTCCCTCTCTCGAGTTCATTCCTAGATTTGTAGATAGTATTCAATTGGTGATCAAGCAATCAAATAATTAAGCGCAAGTTGAATAAATAAACCAATATAATAAAATAATAAGTACAATTCAAGCTTCAAACTACAACATTCATATAGCACCCAAAACTCTAGAACTAATGGACTATGAAATTAAAAGAAGAGAAGAGAAGAAAAACTAGTTAGAAGCCTCCAAGCATAATGTGTGTTCCTCCACGTGAATTCCTCTTCCAAATATGTTAAATATCTCCAAAGTGGCGTATATATCCATCAAAAATATGTTTAGTCTTGCTTTTATACGTGTTGGGTAGGTCTAAGGCTGAAATAACCTTGTCCCGAGCGAAATTGGAGAAAATCACGTCCCTAGCGCCCTGGCTAGTGCTAGCTAGGCGCCTTCCACGGCGCTGCCAACTTGAATGTTCTACTTCTGGCGCCAGAGGTAGGGCTAGGTGTTGCACTGCCCAACTTTCCTGTTTTCGTCCTTTTTGGTTCTAATTTCGCACATATCGACCCCGATTGCTCCCGGATCAGTCCTACACATAAAAACACATCAAATTAATATAAATCAATACATTTTACATCCTAAATCCACGAAACAAAAGTAAAACATGAGGCGATATACATATAAATATATATACTTTAAGCTAAACATCAACACCTCACACTTAGACTCTTGCTCGTCCTCGAGCAATGGGACTATCAAATAAACTCCCAACCGCGTACACGTCTCATTTATAGAGGAGCACTTTAACATTTAACCACAGACTATACCCTTGCTATGATCAATACCGGCACATAAGCATGAACATACAAAATTTCACATTCTTCCCGTTTAAGCATGCCAAAGTATAACCTTTCAATTCAATCAATTCCAACAACCTATTTGTCACCACCCAACCTCAAAAGCCGACGTGTACCCACTGAGCACCCTCAACTCACACGCTCACCCAATAATAAAGTTTATAAAATTACCAATCATTCATAAGATCATGTGCCCTTACCAACTAACAAAAGAGGGAATATAGATTAGTCCGTACATTCAAATATGCTTTTGAATATAGATTAAGGACATCACACAATTGAATAAAATTTGCTCACTCTCACAAAGAATTTATGTGCATCCCGTAGTCGTACCATAAGATTGCCCGTAGTGTATATATCTACTAATTTAAGCTAGACAAATCTAGGATTAATTAGGACTTTAAAATTGTAATGTAGGCGAAGGGACGGGTATGCTATATTTAGAAATAGTGACTAACCCTCTTAAGCACTTTAATATACTACATTCACAATTCAAGCACATATTCTCAACCAATTCACTTGCCACAAACCATATGCACATAGCCCTTACTTTCATTAAGTACTTCTATACTCCCACTAGCAAATTATTAAGAATTGGAGGTGTGTACTTTTTTACATACTTTATCTATCATTTTTTCTTCTTCTTCTTTTCCTCACACGCTCCATACGTTAATGTTCATCGGCTAGTGACTTTTGATTTCAACTTTTAGTGCACCAACGGGCCTTTCCATGGTTCCACTCAAAAACTACTCCCCAATCTCTAACCTTACTTCTTTTAGCGACTAAGTGCCTTAGGCGGTAAAGGTTCAATCAATATCAAATTAAGAACAAAATAAGGGTATGGCTTGTAATGTGGCTGCTAAAGAAAAGGTCTATAGGCTCAAAGAGGCTAGCAACTAAAATTTGATTTTCTTATGTGACAAGCACATTTATGATCAAGCAAGAAAATGTCTATGTCATCTCCTAGATTAGCACAACTTACAATTTCACTTTAATTAACACATGGGGCAAGTTCTAGACTACACAAGATAGCATAGAAAATCACAAATCCTCACACACACGTTGCACATGACTCACTCACAACGGTTTTGTTCAACTCTCAAGTCAAGCAAGCACATATAATTGAGACAATTAAACAATATTGCACTATGTGGCATACAAGTCAAACAACTGAGAAAAGGCGTCACAAAATAGGCTATTTACTTTACTTAGGCTTCACAATTCAAACCAAGTACACGGAAAAACAGAATGTATGCCATAGCCTAATGTGCTAGCATCAACCATGTCAATGAGCATCTCAGAACGACTTAGTTTCTTCCTAAACTACTCCTAAAAAAAGGATCCGGTTCGAGCTACACCCTTGGAAAAGAACCGGCGCCCAAAGAAAAACCAAGGGATAATACCTAACTATCCTAAAAAAAGATCTTTTTGGTATTTTTAATCGAACTTAATTCCTCAAGAAAATTATCCCAAATATCCATCGTCGGGAAAAGTCCGAACTTTTTTTTTACCTAGACTATGTCTACTACGAGTTCTAAAAGAAAAACTAAAATAAAAATAGCTTTATATAATTACACTTCAGAAAGTAGTTTCTCCACCCCACACTTATATTATGCATAGTCCTCGATGCATGATCATAGAGAAAAATATTAAAACAAGGGTAAGAAATACTCCCTGAGGCCCTCTCGGGCCTAGCTCGGATATAATCCTCAATATTAAGGGTCAGGACGACCCCATACTTAAGCTCAAACATGCTCCTAAGCTTCAACTTCGGGTACTCAGACTTCCCCTACTCTGCAAAACAAAAACAACACGAAACTTGACACTATGTAAAAAATAAAAACTTAAAAAAAATTAAAATACAGGTTGGGTTGCCTCCCAACAAGCGCCTTATTTATAATCGTGGCACGATTCCATCACTTTCACCACTTTTCCTTCCACTTGGAGGATATAAATTGCTTCCCCAATTTTGCATCAATTTTTCTGTCACGTTCATGGGACAGTGGTGTGAAAATAAAGGAACCAAGTAATAGATATTGCATCTTGAACTTCTTGGCCCTTAAGTGAGGAAATAAACACTTTGTTCCTCATCCATTGACTCCTTCATATGCTCGACTGGATCAATTCCTATGTTACCAACCAAACACAATATTGAAAAGTATTTAGAATGAGGTCCAATACGCTCCAACTCCAAAATTGCATTATTTTTTACATCATCAATTTTACACTCTTTGTCAACCTTGGTATCATTAATAATATTTTGGTTGAATTGTTGGAATTCCTCTTTTCGCTCCATAAGTTAGCCAGTATCTACGATAATTGGTTGTAGGGCATCATACGCCTCAACCTTTTTGTTAAATTGAGCTTGCAGGTCATGGATATCTAAGCCAAATTGGTCTATCTCTTGCTTGATCTCAGTTCTTCCTTCTATTAAATGTTCTGTCATATTTGAAAGACCATCACGGAGAAACTTTTGAGATTTTATCAGTTGAGCTTGTTCCTCTAGCCGAGATTGGCTCACTACATTTGCTTCTTCAAAATTTTCCTCTTGCTAGTACTCACTCTCTTCATTTAGTTCTTCCATATTGTCCTTCATTCTTGTGATTGCTACCCTCATTCTTTTTATGTATTTTTTGAGTTCATCTTGTTGCTCTGCTACTTGCCTCAATATATCCCTAATATATGCATCAGGTTTCATATCCTGCACTTCATTACCCCTATCAAACTCACAAATATTATTAGAAACATCATAATAAGAGTTCTGAGAAGGATAATAAGAATTAGGACAATCATCCCAATGACCACGTTGACAACCACACACATTACAAAAATTCCATTCATATGATTGAGATTCACAATTTTGCCACAAGTGTGGTCCCCCACAATACGGACAAGGATCACCATAATA